AGTGAACTTTCTGATTTTTTTTTAGGCAACTTTGTTTCTTCTTTAAAACTGTCGTCTCTTGTTCTTGAAATTGCAGTTTTAACAAATTCTTCGTTGTCAGTTTTATCAGTTCCTGTTACTATTTTGTAAGTAGTGATCACATCATTTTTTCTTCTATCCTCTAGCTTTGGTATATTTAACACCTTTAACCTCTTTTCGTAGCCCTTATTTTTCAGTTCCGGAAGCCATTTAGTTGTGTCATTGTATGTTTTCTTGTTTAGTGATGTGCTTCTTAAGATATATGCACCGTACAACTGCTGCATATTCCAACCTTGATCTCACAATGGTTACAAAAATTTCTTTAATATTTTGCCATCTATTCGTGTATTTTATAATTGATTCTAAAGTTGGAAAGCATGGCATATGTTCCTCGCACAATTTTCTTTGTGATCCTTATCTTGAGGTTATCTTGAGATGATTTCGGGGCTTTTAGTGTTCCCGCGGCCTGGTCTTCGACCAGGCCTCCACCCCCAGGAAGCAGCCCGTGACAGCTGACTAACACCCAGGTACCTATTTTACTGCTAGGTAACAGGGGCATAGGGTGAAAGAAACTCTGCCCATTGTTTCTCGCCGCGCCCGGAATCGAATCCGGGACCACACGATCACAAGTCCAGTGTGCTGTCCGCTCGGCCGACCGGCTCCCTCTTAGGTGACAGTTTTTTTTCCAAAACTACCTGTAGATCTCTTTCTTTATCAGAATTCTTTAGAGCTTTTTCACATAACTAGTAGGTTGTGTGTGACCTATTTTCTCCTATTCCACGTTCCATAACGAGGCATTTATTCACATTAAATTTCATCTGCAAAGTGTTGCTCTATACACTTATTTCTTCCAGGTCTTCTTGAAGGGCACAGCAATTGTCCAAGTTTCTTATGTTCCCTAGTATCTTAGCATCATCAGCAAACATGTTCATATAATTCTATATTTCTTCTGATTAGATCATTTATATATAGTGAACATTCTGATGCTATAGTCCTGTGATACTCCACTGATAACACTTTTCCAGTCTTAGCTTCTGATTACTGCCCTCATTTTTCAGTTGGACACTTTTTCATCCATGTCAGAAGTCTCCCTGTCACTCTTCCAGCATGTTTCAGTTTCCAGAACATCCTTTTATGTGGAAGTTTATCTAAATATATTTTTAGGTCCAAAGAAATGTAGTCAACTCTACCATCTCTTTCCTGTAAAATCTCTGTGGGTCTATCATTGAAACTAAGTAGATTTCTTACACAGGATCTTCCTGATCAAAATTCGTACTATCTTCGTGTTATTATATAATTTTTCTCCAGGTGTTCTTCCATTTAATTTTTATTATTTTTTCTAATGTTTTGATTTGTATGCTTGTCAACGGTAGAGGTCTGTAATTTAGAGGGTCTTCCCTCCTACGTATCCATTTTTGTAGATTGGAACAATGTTTACCTTTGCCTATATCTGATATGACTCTTGTACATAATAATGACTGAAAAATCAATTGAAGTGAGAGCTGAAGTGGAGTGGGTGTGGGTGTTGGGAGTGAGCGTGTGTGTCAGGAGTGGGCATGGGTGTCAGTAGTGGGAGTGGGCATGCGTGTCGGCAGTAGGAGTGGATGTAGGTGCTGGGAGTGGGTGTGAATGCTGGGAGCGGGTGTGGGTGCCAAGAGAAGTTGTGAATGTCGGGAGTGGATGTGAGTGTCTGGAGTGGGTTTGGGTGTCAGGAGTGAGTGGGAGTTTCAGAAGTGGTGTTGGATCTTTGCGTGTGGATCTGGGCATTGGTATATGGGTATGGGTATTGGTATGCATGTGTGGGTATTGGTATGTGGGTGTGGGTATTGCTGTATGGGTGCCTGCTTATGGGTGTCAGGGTGTGGGCATAGGCATGTAGGGAGTGCAAGGGTGTGATATCACTGGGAGAATAATGGTTCTTACACCTCCAGAGTGGACTACAGAAGTGGATACGACTCGTACACGGGTGGTCCACTGGCTCACATTAACCCTAGATGAGGAGAGGTGGTGGAAGGGTCAGTAGGGTAGGTGGGTCAGCTGTGGGGCAGGAGCTGCTTAGTCGAGTGACAAATTGTAAATAACAGAACATAATATTTTTATTTGTTTGGTTATTTATCCATTGAAATATTTACACAAAAGCAAAATGGGTTCTGACACAATTTAAGGCACATGATGTTTCATCATGTTACAACAAGTGTTAACACAGTATGGGGTGCGTTATGGAAGTGGAGGGGCAGGGAAGGGGGTGGGGGGGGGAGTTGAACAGAAAGATGTGTGATCATCTTTTGTCTGTTCAGTGTTGTCTCTATAGTCTGGCAGTCTGTGCAGCCTGTCCATCCTGATGCCTGTCTTGCCTTACAAACTCTCAAGCCTGATAACCTGTCTTGCTTGACAGCCTGTTTTGCCTGACAGCCTGTCTAGCCTGTATAGCCGGTCTAGTCTGTATAGCCTCAGAGCCTGTCTAGCCTGTCTAGCTTCACAGGCTGTCTAGCCTCACAGGCTGTCTAGCCTCACAGCCTGTCTTATCTGACAGCCTGTCTAGCCTGACTGCCTGACAGCTTATCTAGCCTCACAGTCTATCAAGCCTGACATTCTGTCTAGCCAGATGAAGTACACTCAGATGTTGAAGTACTTATACCACTCCCACACTCCACTTTTTTGCACATTTGTATTCAGATTGCCTGCTCGCCTCACCAGTTTATTACTCATTTTTATTTAGACAAACCCAAAACAGCATATCTGGATAACAGGTCTTCGGAAAGCACATGGTCATCTATGTATATACTGGTATGTATGTATGCATGTATGAATGTGTGTGTGTGTGTGTGATATATATATATATATATATATATATATATATATATATATATATATATATATATATATATATATATATATATATATATATATATATATATATATATATATATATATATATATATATATATATATATATATATATATATATATATATATATATATATATATATATATATATATATATATATATATATATATATATATATATATATATATATATATATATATATACATATATAATTTCAAATTGACATTTCTGAATGATATACAATATATGAAAACTGCACTAGCCTCAAGTGTGATTTAATCCCAATGCCATGTAGCCTATCCATTACCCAGGAGTACCACCTCTATCAATTAATTCACATCAGCTTGATATGTGTAGCTAATTTGATAAAGGCAATAGTCATGGGTCATGAGATAAAATTCAGCAGTGAGTTGAAATTTGATTTGAGGCTAATGAGTATTTTCTCATACCTGCGAGTCTGTGTGTGAGCATTCACTTACGTGTGTATGTGCATGTATGTGTGCTTGTGGATGTATTTGGGCATGTGTGTGTGTTTGTGCATGTGTGTGTGTTTGTGTTTGTGCATGTGTATGTATGTGTGTGTGTGTCAACATATATATGAATACAGTACAGTATTATGAACATGGTGTTTGTAATAGGATTTTAAGATTAAGTTCTTTATTATAAATATTTATAACCATATCAGAAGTAAGTTAACATCCCCAAGATTAATATTTGTGGTCTACTCACCAGGGACTTACTTCATAATCCTGTTTCTTGCGTCTGTTATCGTGTAGGATTTCAAATCCCCATCCGGGTGTCACTCTTTTTCCAAGTGTTTAAAGTCTATCCCCAAAACTCCAGTAATTTTAGAGTATGTGAATTTCCTTTTCAAATACTGTTATGAAACAGAAGCCCAATTGTCTTCCTATGTTAAATGTGATTCGTGTTTTGTTAAAAATATTGACCCAACATATGAGATCATAGTCTTCCAGATAATTCATATGCCAGTGCCCATAACAATATTTATCTTAATCTGTTATATCTTGCCTATTTTCAGCATAATATATTGCTTATAGTATCAAATTTGCAAAAGTTTTATCATATCTGTTTATTATATCTGTGATCTCTTACTGTGGGCCATGAAACAAGCGATGGCTGTGGTTCGGGGCCATGAAAAGAACAAGAAACGTGGCCTCCTACCCGCCATATTGGTCGTGCAATGCTGCCCAAATGGCTTGCCATGCACGTAACCATTTCCACCCACCCGACTTTACAGCACTCTCCCGTCTCTTTTTTTTCTCCCATACTTCACACCCAGGTTTTTGGCAACATGAAATTTGATCCCGACACTGACCTAAATCGACATAACAACTTTCAGTCTTTCTTCGCCGGTCTCTTGCTCTTGTTTCGGTGAGTTTGCAACCCCCCACCACCCAGGCTCGGCCAATAGCAACCTGAGACAGTATTTATTATTCCAATCTCTAGGCCTGAACACTGAGACGAATGTCTGTTCAGTGCCAAGATATTAACCTTCTGAGAATGATAAACAAATTCGCAGGACCCCATGGGCTCGACATAGCCTCAAAGTGAGATCCTAGCATCCCGGAACAGTAAAGTCTAGCTATATTCCTGAACAGACATGTGATGTTTAGCCGTCTGGTGACATGTCTAGTCCTCTAGATGGCAATGCCGTGTAGTTTAGTTTCTTGTAGAAGATAACGTAACTTAGAAATGTGATCCAACTAGCTTAGACTAGCTAACCTAGACTAGATAGTGTCTGTGGTGCTTGCCCACTTTTTGGTGAGGGATCATCTTATTCCCTAGAGTATATTGACCTGTGCAGAGTTTTTTGTCCCATGTCCCTGAATTTTGACCCTGATATGACCCTAGCGACTGGTCACTTGTTTCCCTTGAGAGCCCTGGTGAGAGGACAACCTTTGGCCCCCCCTCCCTGCCCTAAACTTAACCTTTCTTTACCTTTACTCAACCTCTCATGACCTCACTTTTTCTCATCTCATAACCCCAAAGAACCTCATGTTGAATACCCTTCAAGTCTTGGTGTGCCTCAGAAGCCCCTACCTAGTATAGAAATCGTGTTTGGAATTTTGAGTAATCCTAAGTTTCTTGTTTTTTGTTTCCCTCCGTCACCCAGGTCTTTGGTAATATAGAATTGGATCCTACCACGTCTATAACACGCCACAACAACTTTAGAAAATTTACAGAGGGCATAATGCTCTTATTCAGGTAACCCATCTAAGTTACTTTTTCCTGGCACTCGAAAGTGACTCAGCGGCAAAATTGGCTATTTTCTTCTGTCCAAACTTTTGTCACTGCAGTTCTTGTGATCTCCGTCCCTCAAAAGCTACAGCTGTCATCGCTACAAAATACTGTATTAATTTTTACCACAATTCTTTGTGGAACTGCCCTCTTTTTTTTTTTCCAGGGGTCTGTATAATTTTTATATACTAATTTTTGCGTGAGTGTGCCTTTTTTCAGTGCCACATATTTACTACAATATAAAACACGGCGTTTTAATACAGTATTTTGTGATATGGATGCTATTTTCTGCATTGATGTGTAACTGTGCTGTAGGATGGATATGTTACCTTGATGTGATCACTATTGCTGTAGGAGGAACTGTTTTCTTAATTTGATCACCTTGGCCATACAAATTCAGCACCAAAATTTTCGCGGCAGACCAATAACAGGGAGAGTTTTTTTTATTTACATTGGATTGTTTATTTAGTTTTTCTTTCATTTTCTTTTTCTTCTCAAAGTAGATATTTTTGCTGCACCTTAAACACTAGTTAAAAATAATTCTTAATTTTATTTCTCAATTATTTATTTATTTATTTGCTTATTTATATATTTTTATTTACCCTTTTTTTAACACCTTGCTATAAAAGATTTTTAGTAATATTTAAGTTGTGCACTGTAGGCTGCGTGGGTGGCGGCATGCGTGTTATGTAGCATTGGGCATGTGTGAGTGTATTCGGTGAGTGGTTCCAGCTGCACAGTCCTCTTTAAAAATTGAGAAGTCGTTAGAGTCCTTACATTTTTCAAATGTTTTCTTGAGATCAATGGAACCTATAGGGCTTATTCTCATTGAAAGAATGGATAAAGTGTGAAATATATGGTGAAATATTTTAAGAAAATGGTCAATGTAGAATTGTTCAGCAGTGTTTTACATCACCCCTTATGATATGCTGTGGTCGTGCAGTGTATCCAAAACTGTTTTGGGGCGTATGTATTCCTTTGCATCCATGGGTGCATTTGAGATGCATCACATAACTCTCTTGATAATAGCATTTACTGCAACATATTTCCTTAAATGTAATACTGCACTGTACCTTAGACCACCACTGTGTGTACTTCCATACATTGACCTTAAGAACACCATTCTTGTATTTTACTTTCCATGTTTTGAGTTGACAGTTAAAAGCAACATTATGTTTTTACTTTGAGTCACTACATCATAGGGCAATACCTGCCTTCATCCTTACACGTGAGCTTTAATTTCAAAACAAAACAAATTAAACAAAAAAATCAAACATTTTGAGGTGGACAATTTACCCAGGTATGGACAGTAAGTCACTGGCAAACACCTCTTTGGATGTTTGTTTCATTGTTTTCTATCCTGGAACCTCAAATGTTTTAATGTACATTGTCTCATTAGATTCTTTTAATTATTAACAATATATGAGGTGTTCATGCAAAACTGTATAAACAGTAAAACTCTTAGGAGATGTAGGTTTGCTACACTATCATCATGAGGACATATTGGTGTAGACCAGAATTACCTTTTGGATGTGTAGTGAAGGACCACCACCACCACCACCATCACCAGCCCACACAGCTGGCTGCAACAGCACCCTCTGTGATCTCCGCACGGTAACCCACACATATAGGCTCACTCTCACAATGCATGTCCAAGCAGCTGACAGTGTGAAGTGTAGACAGATAGTGGATACCAGTATCCTAATCACTCTCAGAGTGATGATACACAGCCAAGCATCCCACTCACTGTAGATGATGGCTGTCTAAGGTAGCCAGTGACCTCCACAACCCTCCACATGGTGTTGTGAATGGTCCTCCTTCCTATCCTTATCACCCCCCCCCCCTCAATCACCTACTTCACATCAAGTCACTCCAATGCCTCCTGAAACCTCCACCTTAACCATAATGCCTAGAATGAAAACATATTTTGACTTGCATATGATTGCCTTAATCCATTGAACCTTACCTAGTAGACCCTTTGCCTCCTTGTCCATGCTTGCTTGTAATGTAGGGACAATTAGTTAATTAAACATACTGTTGTCGGAAGCCGTGCAAGGTAAGTGATGTGTGCTTTTGTTGTATGTTTTGCTGAAACAATATAAATTCCTTTCTCACTAAGATATACATTTCAAATTGATCCACTACTTGTCTGAATTTAAGAATTTTTGTATTTTTGAGATACAGTATACATAAATTCAGTATATTCCTTTTTTTTTTTTGAAGATATCTTGTAATGAATATCACAGCGCTAATGAAATAAACACCGTAAGAATTTTCAGAATTTCATGACCATTATCTGCAGTGTATTTGTTTCAAGCTATTATAATAATAGGATGCCAGAACTTCATTTGTAAGACCCTTCAATGAGATCTGTTTATGATTACATTTTGTGCTCTAATTTATATTTGTGGCTTTTTTGTCAGAATCCTAGTTCTAATTGATAATTAAAATGATTAAACAAGTTTAAATAAGAGAGAAACAACATAACATTATGTAGTAACAAGGTTGTGCGGATTATATTCCATAATATGAATGTTGTTTTAATTTTTTGTTTTTTTAAACTGAAAAATGTGTTTGCAATATATATAGGTCTGAATAAAGGTTTGAGAACGTTGATTGGATGGGCTGTGGAAAAACTGGGATATGTTGATAAATTATCAATGTGTAAATCATTGGTTCAGAACTGAAGTTAAGAGTAAGATGTGATGTCCTTATGGGTGTTTATTAATGTATCTTTATTGATTGGCTTGTTTCCAGGCCATTAACCTCTGTAGCAGAATGAGATTACATAGAGCTGAAAAGGAGATGAAGCAGGAGAATACTGTTAGGGGCCTTAACCTAACATACCCTAATCTAGCCTAACATAACTAATTCAGTAATTCATGTTCTTAATGTAATATAATATTATTAATTCAAATAAACCACCTTCACAAATTTTGTTGAAAATAACAAAAATCACTGGCTTTAATCAAATTCGGCCTTGAATACTAGGCCAAGTAGTACGTTCTGGCTATTAGGTACGACATGCATTGCCATATATGATATGGCCAGGCAAATCGGCCCCTGCTTACTAGACAAGTAAACAATTCTGGTTATTGTACCATGCCCCTGGCAGTCCAGTACTATTACCACTCAGTGATTGTCCAAAAGTGTTGGGAAGTCGTGAGACCGACATGCACCCAACACCCAACAACGCTCCTGCCATTTTTTTAGGCACAGATATATCATCAAATCATTTCAACATGCTAGGGCCGCATGAGTATCACGTGTGCGTAAAGCTTGAATGGTCCCCAAGCAATTATACAACAATAAACTCTTGACTCCTGAAGGATTCGAACCCGAACCAGGGTACCATGCTCCTGGCTGTCTAGCACTATAACCACTCGGACAGCGATTGTTTAAAAGTGTTGGGAAGTCGTGAGACCTACATGCACCCAAAACCTAACAACACTCCTGGCATTTACTAGGAGTGTTGGATATGTATATGTGTGTATTATATATATACATACACATATGTACTCATACATAATCATACACATTGTATTACAATTTTCAGAAAACAGACATATCAATCAGTGTTTGAAAATCTCATCTAGCTCTGCAGAGGTTGGGTGCATGTCAAAGATACAGCAAGCATTTCCTCTCTGGATTGCGACTCTGAGGCACTGGAATAGGAAACTGGCCCCCTTTTGAATCTCTAGATTGTCAAATAAGTTCCTCACCCACATCCTTTAGGAACTTTGGTACACATTTATCCCAGGCGCCCAGGGCCTCAGAGCCAATATATATTTTTACTGCAAGACAAAAGTATGCAATGCCCTGCTACCCCCCATTCCCCCACAACAAGCATGAGAATATTTGTAGTAAAATGTTTATTATAATTATCTTTTAATACTTGGTTGGGTAGTCTTTTCTCTTCTTCACAGCTTTGGACACATTGGAGTAGGTATTCTGGTGAGATATTTGCCCAGACATATGGCCTCCTCAATCTTGCGTGTGGAGCTGACGTCTCTACCCCTCCATATCCCTCTTAACCATGTGCCAAAGGTCTTCAGTTGGGTTCAGATCTATGCTGTTTCCTGGCCAATCCTTTATGAATGGTACAATGCAGTACCATGCAGCTCATTATGAATGCTCGGAGGCAACTGAGCCTCCCAGCTGTGCTACCAGATACCATAACATCATATACCTGCTGCATAATCCTGTCTGAAATATCTCATTATAAGACATTTCATCATTCTTTTTTTGCCATAACTCTGCAGCGCCTCGAGCCGGGTAGCACATACTTTTGACGAGTACTGTATGTATGTGTGTAATTACCTATATGTAACTACCTAAGTATTGTTACAGGATGAGAGCTATGCTCGTGGTGTCCCATCTTCCTAGCACTCTTTGTCATATAACACTTTGAAATTACTGATGGTTTTGGCCTCCACCACCTTCTCACTTAACTTGTCCCAACCGTCTACCCATCTGTTTGCAAAAGTGAATTTTCCTATATTTCTTTGGCAGGTTTGTTAAGTTAGTTTAAATCTTTGACCTCTTGTTCTTGAAATTCAAGGTCTCAGGAATTCTTTCCAATCAATAGGAATTATTTTACAAATTATAACAATTTCTTTCGAGTTAGGAATTTTTAGTTTACGAACCATCTCTGGGAACGGAATAAATTTGAAAACCAAGGTACCACTGAATATACAGAATAAATATATATATATATATATATATATATATATATATATATATATATATATATATATATATATATATATATATATATATATATATATATATATATATATATATATATATATATATATATATATATATATATATATATATATATATATATATATATATCTAATAGCCAGAGCCACACTACTTGGGCTAGTATGCAACAGGCAGTGGTTTTTAATTTTTCCACACATTTCTTTGCAAATTGCCATATTCCAATTAATATTATTATATTA